TAATTCCAATCTGACTTCCTGTGCAGTGTGGCCAAGTCAATTAAAATTCCACCTGGCAGCTGAAAGGAAGTCAATTTTTAAATCTGCAATTACTGCGTTACACTGCATGACTTCAACAGACCTCAAAAAAGTGAGTAAAAATAATCTAAACACTTCAGAAGTGGCTCACACCTTCACATATTTCGAAAAAAAAAAAGAAAATTCCACATTTACAACAACTCACACGTTTTTAAGCATATCTGATCACCCGTAAAGTGATCATGTGTTTGAATCTAAACCAGAGACAATTCAATGGACTTTCCAGGGTAAACTGAACTCTTGGACTTTCCAGGGTCAAATATGCCTGGCCTTAAAGCAAACACTCGGCAGGGGGAGAGAGAAAAAAACAGAGAAAAAAATGAGACAAGAGGAGACACAGTGCCAGCAACACACTGTGCCGCATGTGTTTTCTATTCAGCTCTCTGGCCTCTGTCACAGTTATTGTGATCTGCTGCCTAACGCTCCTCGAAAAAGAAAAAAAAAAAGAGGCGAGGGAAGAAAAAGGATCCAGCAATGTTTTTTCCCGGTTTGCTGGAAATGAGCTCAGAGCTGCCAGGAAGAGGCATGCAGGCCATTCCCTGGAGCAGAGGAATGACGTGGGAGTTACGCTACAAGGGGGCGATACGGGGGAGAAGCCCTGGCTTCCGGCGTGTTTGGACGGACAGATTTGTGTTCCTCCCACACAGATGGAGAGTATGGAGCCAGATTAGTCTAAAAAATGAATACATTTACAAAATATAATTCATAGATCCACAACACCATTCACATTTAAAAAACACAATTCGTGAATACACAAATGCAATTCCTAAATTCAAAACACAATTCAAAACTACACAAATCCAGTTCGTAAATTCAAAACACGATTCAAAAATACACAAATCTAGTTCATAAATTTCAAATGTGACTCAAATATATACAAATCCAATTCATAAATTCAAAACACAACTCAAAAATTTACAAATCAAATTTCTAATTTCAAAATATGATTAAAAAATACATAACTCCAGTTTGTAAATTAAAAACACGATTCAAAAACAAATACAGTTCGTAATACAAAACACGATTCAAAAATACACAAATCTAGTTCGTAAATTAAAAACGCGATTCAAAAATACACAAATCCAGTTTGTAAATTCAAAACACAATTCAAAACTACACAAATCCAGTTCGTAAATTCAAAACACGATTCAAAAATACACAAATCTAGTTCATAAATTTCAAATGTGACTCAAATATATACAAATCCAATTCATAAATTCAAAACACAACTCAAAAATTTACAAATCAAATTTCTAATTTCAAAATATGATTAAAAAATACATAACTCCAGTTTGTAAATTAAAAACACGATTCAAAAACAAATACAGTTCGTAATACAAAACACGATTCAAAAATACACAAATCTAGTTCGTAAATTAAAAACGCGATTCAAAAATACACAAATCCAGTTTGTAAATTCAAAACACAATTCAAAAATACACAAATCTAGTTCGTAAATTCAAAAAACTATTCAAAAATAAACAAATCCAGTTCGCAAATTCAAAACATGATTCAAAAATACATAAATCCAATTCGTAAATTCAAAATATGATTCATAAATGCACAAATCCAGTTTGTAAATTCAAAACACGATTCAAAAATACACAAATACAGTTCGTAAGTTTAAAGCGCGATTCATAAACGCATAAATCCATTTTGTAAATTCAAAAAACGATTCAAAAATACACAAATCCAATTCGTAAATTCCAAACGCGATTCATAAATACACAAATGCAGTTCGCAAGTTCAAAACGCGATTCATAAATGCACAAATCCAGTTCGTAAATTCAAAACATTATTTAAAAATACACAAAAACAGTTCTTAAATTCAAAACACGACTCAACAACACACAAATCCAGTTTGTAAATTCAAAACGCGATTCATAAATACTCAAATCCAGTTTGTAAATTCTAAAAACGATTCAAAAATAACCAAATTCAATTTGTAAACCCAAAACACGATTTAAAAATACACAAATCCAATTCATACATTCAAAACGCGACTCAAAAATACACAAATCCAGTTCATACATTTAAAACGCAAAATATTTCAGACTTTTACTTGCAAATTTATGAATTGTTTGTTGTTTTTATGAAATGTGTTTTGAATGTACAAATTGGACTTTATAAAAGTGATTTGTGCTTTTCATATATGGAGTTTTATTTTGTAAATGCATTATTTTTGAGACTGATCTGGCTCCATAGGAGTGAGGCTGGTCCGTGCCGCTCACCTCCAGCCCTACAGGCCTCCTGCTCTTATCAGCTGAGTGCAAAAACACACCGCAAGACTGTTTCTGCCAACCAGCGCCGTGATTCATCGCAAAACCAGCGCAGGAGATACAGGGAGACGTGCGTCAGCAGTATGTAATACGAGGCATCCAGATTATGATGAAAGTAATGACAAAACTCGCCAGGAGGCAAAACAAATCGTAAAAATTAATTAAAAAAGAAGTTGTGAAAACAAAAAAAACTAAACATTTCACAAAAATGAGGATTCAAATGCAGATTTATTTAAGAGAATCCTCTTACAGTCAGGAGCGACTCAGTGGTTAGCACTGTCACCTCACAGAAAGAAGGTCGCTGGTTCCAGTCCCGACTGGGTCAGTGGGCATTTCAGTTTTTTGCATGTTCTCCCCGTGTTGGCGTGTCCCAACAGTACAAACACATGCGCTGTAGGTGAATTAAATAAACTAAATTGGCCATAATGTATGAGGGTGAATGAGAGTGTATTGTTGTTTCTTAGTACTGGGTTGCAGCTTGAAGGGTTTGTAAAACATTTACTAGATAAGTTGGCAGTTCATTCTGTTGTGGAGACCCTTGATGATTAAAGGGACTGAGCCAAAGGAAAATGAATGAATGAATGTCTTCATTTTAGGACTGTGCTGTTGGAGATATACAAGGAAATACTGCATGTCTGGGAAATATCTATTATTTTTCCGTGTGCTTTTCCAGAAGTTGTGACTGTTTAACTTTTTAAATATTTACTCACCAATATTAGTAATTGTAGACCTGCAAATATTCGTACTCATGGATGGTATCTTGTTTCGTTTTTTTCTCCATCTCTTTTTTTTATTTTATTAATCTTATTTTTTTTTACTTATGTGTTAATTGATTAGTTCATTGATTTGTTTTTATTCATATTAACTATTCAATAAATTTTTTTTTTTTAATTGTGAAAATTTTAAACAGAATTTTTAGTTTTCAGAAATTTTAATCGTGCTTTAATTCGTCATGGAACAAACCGCTGCAACCAAACAAATTTACAACAATGGTGTGCAAGTTATGAGCTTATACACCGAGGCTAATACAGACGCATGCTGGATTAACTATGGCTGAGGCTGTTCACATATCACGTCTGTTGTGCGTGTAAGTTTGTTATTTTAAATAACTATTTCCGTGCATATTACGAACGACGTGCACACGGCGCACCATTCTCATGCTTTCCAGTCACACCTAGTTGAAAGAATGCCACAAGCAAACCACGAATCACGTGACAAGAACTGATCAATCAGCTTCATATTTGTTATAGAATGTACACATTTCTACTCCAAACAGAAAAAAAATACAAAATGAAAAACCAAACAATTTTGTAATATTATATAAATAGTGGTTTAGCAGTCTTTGAATACATTTGTTCAGTTTTAAAAGAAAATAAATAGCTAATAGCTAATATAATGCTTAGATTTACATTAGACAAATACAAATTTTTAAATGTATTCTTATTTTATTTATTCATAATAAATTATATATATATATTTTGGTACCACCAAAATGAGCAGTATTGAAATACAGTAGTGTAGTAGGCCCAGTAAAGCAGCTACAACTCTGCAAAGTTAAAAAACGTTGCAGATTACCTCAGAAATATAGGCTAAATGTCATATGTGGCATATTATATACATCATTTTTGATCAATTTTAAAATGTGTATAGCATGGACATGACACATTTCATTCCTCCGCGTACCATTAGAAGGAAGCCTGGGTACCACTAGCGGTACACGTACCACAGTTTGAGAACCACTGCCTTAGAGAAATCGACTCTTATTTGTTTTTTATTAATATTTTGTGCTGTATTATTTGGTCACTGAGCAGCAATAAATAACATTTAAATATATAAGGAGTTTCAAAAGATTTTCTAAACTATTAGTTTTACAAATAACTAAAAGCATAATAATCGTGACAACCATGAAACCGTGATTATTCCTCACACTATAGTCATACAAACAAAATCTATAATCATTGCACCCCTACTCAAAATATAAAGTACTTTTTTTATTTCAAAAGCTTTAGTCCAATGTACACTTTAGACTATAAAGGTATTGTATTTTTTATTAAAAATCATTATATGGACTAAGGACTTTTGAAAAAATCTGGGGACCTTTTCTGGTGTATATACCTTACATTTCTTTGATAAATGCTTTAGGTATATGTGCATGTATATATATATGTACATATATGTATGTATATTTGTATATACATGTGTTTTTAATTATTAATTAATTAATTAAAAGCAAAGACAAAGAAAAAACATAGAGAAATAAAATAAGATTAATTAATTAATTAATTAATTAATTAATTAATTAATTAATTAATTAATTAAAATTAATTAAAATTAATTAATTAATTAAAATTAATTAAAATTAATTAATTAATTAATTAATTAATTTTATTTTATTTCTCTATGTTTTTTTCTTTGTCTTTGCTTTTGAGGGGGAAAAAGTCCAATGTTTGCACAATATGTTTTGTTTTACTTATATTTGAAAAAAAAAATTATTATTATATGTGATTTTACAGTAATTTTAATTGGTCCAAAACTGTGCTGTTGTTTTACAATCTAAAAATCCCAAGATGGGCATAAAAAACAGGACCAAATACCATCAGCTATAATACAGAAACTCTAATACAATACAATATAGACACTTACCATGGTGGATATATGTGGACGATGTCTCCAGGCACAGGCTGTATCTGGACGGCCGTATCCTTGTTAAAAAGAGCCACACAGGTTTCTCCCTCCGGCAGTCGCTCACACAAAGTGGCCTGCATGCCACACTCCTCCCGAACTCCCACAATCCTCAGCGTCAGGACTCCAGGCCTGTCAGCTTACAGGTATAAAATGATATAGCGTTACAATGTAAGCCCTAATTTTAGATAGACTACAATTTTCTGAGTCGATCATTCAATGATTTATTTGGAAAGATCATGCACCCATTGGCTAAATTCTCCATCAGTCAAACAAGAAAGTAAGTTACTGGCTAAAATCAATCGGCTCACAGATAGCATATGCAGATCATCAAAACACTCGACTGCTTTGTTTAGATTTTAATAACTATAACTTTGACTTTTTATTCAATTTGTGGTCTCATTTGATTTGTAACACTGTCAGCTATAACATTGACTTGCTTTTTACTACAGTGAAACTGCTGTACGGTGTTTTGTAAAGTACAGTAAATTACTTTAATTAATCTGTTGTGGTAATACTATAGTTTCTATGGTAACACAATAAGTGCATTTTTTTTTTACAATATAGGTTATATTATACTACAATTCACCACACTTTACTGTAGTAAAACTACACTGTATTTTATTTTATCAGTTTACTATTCTTAATACTAGTCCACATCGACGGAGCCACAGCAGACCATTTACACGTGAGCTGCCAGTGTTTTGAGTGCATGCAAGAAGTTTTGTCCACGAACAGAGGAAACCAGCGTGTGAGCAAAGATATTCGCTCTATAGTATTACATGAATGCGCTCCAGACTTTCTGCGCTTACAACATTTGTCAGTAAATTATTGCCATACTCCGCCAGCCGAAATCATGTGGTGCGCAACCACAGCGAACCTCCGCAAACACAGTGATGACATCACATTCGCTGCACGCACTGAGATTGGCTATTGCATGTTGACCTTTTTTGTAGTTTTGTAGTTTTTTTTTTTGTAGTAAGACAATTGGACTAGTGAAATGAACTACAACACCCCGAAAACCTAGCACAACAACAAAAAAGAATTTTAATGAGCATTAGATTAGGCGTTACATGGACATCGCAAAAATAAGACCTGTGCAAAAATATTTAAGACCTAGAACAGCGAATAAGACTTTTTAAGGCCTTAAATTTCGATTGAAAAATTTTAGACTTTTTAAGACCCTGCGGAAACCCTGTACAAAGACGCAGTTTTCGCCTGCATGTAACAGTAAATAATGCAAACAACAGGTCTCTAGAAGAAACGATAACATAAACAATTGAAAAACTATTCATAATTCAACACTACTGTGTCGGTGGACTAAATGTGTTCAATGGGTTTTCATTCTGAGGATTCTTACCTTTCAAAATAAACTGTTATGTACAGCAATGAATGCGTGTGTGTCTTGTTACTACGATGATATGTACTCCATTTCTAATAAGCGTGCTCTGTACAACTTACACAAATTTAGCAAATACATTATTTATTAGCTTTCCATTGTAAAAAAAAAAAAAAAAACAAGTAGCTACAACGTTTGTAGCTTTATGCTGCGTTAACACTAGACGCAGCACGCGCGTCAAGCGCGAGTGATTTACATGTTAAGTCAATGCAAAAATTATAAAAATAGATTGGGCCAGAATGGAATTGCAAAATCCAGCCATAAAACAGAATTAGTAATGCAGAATGTCAGATTAAATGGACAATTTTTGGAAGAATAAACAAAAAGCAGTGTTTCACATGAAATTAAATAATAATATTTGAAGTTTGGTTTACTACACACAGTATGACGCAATCTAACAGCATGTACAATTAGCCTGTTTAGTAAACTTTACATTCTTTTAAAGCCATCACCTCAAGATGGTTTCGTCTCAAAGATATGAGGATTTGCGAAACAGCACACATACGATAAAGGCCCAGTAAATGAATAACAGCGGCAGGATATTTTGGGTTATGCAGTGAAAACTCATGCTGGATCACTCCCAACTTTTTCATTTCTGTCAGTTCTGAGGAAATGAAATAAAACCCAGCTCTCTGATGGGATATATTCCCATGCTGACTGTTCAAGGAATAACTGGCTTTCATAGCACACATGAACACAATTGACTCAGCTGAAATCATGGGCGAGCACAGCCAAGACTCAAGAGAAGTATTTCTAAAGGATGTGTAATGGAAAGTTTTTGTGCACAAAAAAATGAAAGCAGCAAGAGGAACAGGCTATGTTTACTCCATGCAATGCAATGCAAAACAAAAATACAAGAAACACTGGCTGTTGTTCAAGTTTTTTTTTTAAAGGAAACAGTGCCAAAAACAGCTGCACATAACTAAGAATAGGAAAGGTGCAAGTTATTAAATGCACACACTGAAATGGGATTTATTAGCCATGGAAATCATTTTTAATCTTGCACCAAGCAAGATGTGTGTGGGAGATGCATTCCTCAGCAATCTTCAGGCTGTGGAATTTAAGGAAGTATGCCAGCTGCAGAGCTGTCCGTAAACTGCAGTCATCCTAGATCCCTTTTCCACTGTAAACGTGAAGAAGCACTTTAAAAAGTGCATGACTAAGCAACTCAAATTATATTTAGTCTTAGCTAACATTGCTAGACTAGAACTAGACATGCAAGACTAGAATATTACCAAATTACTGAAGTCAAATTTAGGACACACTATAGAATTTTATGTATGAGAACATAAAAAAAATTTGGCGTATTTATTTATTTATTGGTTTATTTGTTTATTTATATCAATATATCGTATGGGTAGGCTTTATTTTAGGCTGCTGGTCTGTATTGTCATATATAAAAAGCTAAATAAAATAAAATTTTGCATCTTAACAAACCATTAGAACAAATAATAATAACAACAACAATAATAATAATAATAATAATAATAATAATAATTAATTAATAAATAAATGAAGATGTTGCAATGATCCATATAGCATCTGGAGCACATCCTTAAATGATGACATTCAGTGGGGTGTCTAAACTTTTTCACATGACTGTGAAAAATATTTCCATTTGAATAAAAGATTTCTGGATGACTAATAATTTGAGACAACATTTAAAGGTGCTGTATGTACGTTTTTGACTCTTCTAAAGCATAATAATACCATAATATGTTTGCAGATATTTAAGAAACATGCTAAGTGAACATTCTTGTTTATCTGGAAAACAATGCTCAAGTCAGATATTCTGCTTTGAAAATGTGCGTTACGTGCTGAAACGCCTGTCTTTGTTTTAGTTCTTTTAACCCGCCCAATGCCAGTTTAGCCAATTATATTTCAGCACCCCGCGTTGCCTTGGTGGAAAACAGTGTATTTCGTTCATTCAGTCCTGAGAGCTCTGAAAGCATGCGCTCCTAACTGAAATGTGTATTTATATTTTATATTTTATATTTATATTTATTTCTATGTGAAATTTATTTGGATAATGCTTACACTGCACTAACAATTTGAAAGTGTGTGATTGGCCAAGGACAGAAAGGAAGACAACAAACCTATTTTCGAGTATACAGATATCTGTTTTCCATTACCATATGAACCCTGTTAATATAATATTTGATTATATTAACAAATATATTATTAGATTTTTTGCTATTATAATATAATATTTTTTTCTTTCTTTTATATATATGTATATATATATATATATATATATATTTTTTTTTTTTGTGTGTTTCTCTTTAGCATTCTTAAAATAGCCATTGTCTGTTGCTTTGTTGTAATGTGTTTTGATGCTAATATTAAAAATGCTAATTAAAAGATGCAATTAAAAAAATTATCTGTTTTAGTAATTATGTTCCGTAAATTTTAGCTAGCAGCTAAAATAAATAAATATAAATATTAAATATAAATAAATTCAGTTGAAGTCAGAATTATTAGCCCCGTTTATTTTTTCCCCAATTTCTGTTTAACATGGAGCAGATTTATTCAACACATTTCTTAACACAGTAGTTTTAATAACTCATTTCTAATAACTGATTTTTTTTTATCTTTGCCATGATGACAGTAGGGCGACGCAGTGGCGCAGTGGGTAGCACGTTCGCCTCACAGCAAGAAGGTCGCTGGTTCGATCCTCGGCTCAGTTGGCGTTTCTGTGAGGAGTTTGTATGTTCTCCCTGCGTTCGCGTGGGTTTCCTCCCACAGTCCAAAGACATGCGGCACAGGTGAATTGGGTAGGCTAAATTGTCCGTAGTGTGTGTGTGAATGTGTGGATGTTTCCCAGAGATGGGTTGCGGCTGGAAGGGCATCCGCTGCGTAAAAAGTTGCTGGATAAGTTGGCGGTTCAATCCGCTGTGGCAACCCCAGATTAATAAAGGGACTAAGCCGACAAGAAAATGAATGAATGAATGAATGATGACAGTAAATAATATTTTACAAGATATTTTTCAAGACACTTTACAGCTTAAAAAGATATTTAAGGGCTTAACTAGGTTAATTAGGTTAACTAGGCAGATTAGGGTAATTAGACAAGTAATTGTATAACGATAGTCTGTTCTGTAGACTATCGAAAAAATATAGCTTAAAGGGGCTAATAATATTGACCTTAAAATGGTTCTTAAATTTAAAACTGCTTTTCTTCTAGCCAAAATAGAACAAAAAAGACTTTCTCAAGAAGAAAAAATATTATCAGACATACCGTGAAAATGTCCTTTGTTGAACATAATTTGGGAAATAAATAAATAAAATAACCGAATAAATAAAAGGGATTCGTCTGCACATACTAAAAAAGAAGCGATGAGTTTTATTCAAAACAATTAGATTCCAGACCATGCAAATCAATCATATAAAATCAATAATAAATAAATCGAATTCCTTTACAGAGAATGAACCGGACTGAATCAACCAGAATTAACAAAAGAAAAAAGAACAAAAAGTTCAAAGGGGGCAAATAATTCTGACTTCAACTGGATATATTTCATTTATTTCAGTTAATGCCTATTTAAATAAAGAACCTTTAGATTTAGCTAACAGTAACAACTTTACACTGGCAGGGCATCACACACATTTAATTTCCCCAAACAATTAACACATTTTCTCTTGAATTTCCACTGTAAACTGTAACATTAACTTCTCTAAACCTCCAACACAAACAGTCGAAGACCCCTAGCTGTTCACAGTATGTAAAGAAATCCGTTATACCATGGAAAATGAAACATAAGGTGTGTGACTTTGTCTGCAGTGTGTTTGCGTCTGTGGTTTTCCTGTCGCTTTGGCTGAAACACAATTAAGTGGTATTGTCACCTGAATCACAATGGTAGGTGTGCTGTACGTGTTTTACAGCCTCCTACTCCTCCAACTGTACACTGCCAGATCTCATCGCTGGAATATTCAACACGTTTCAGCCGAGCATGACAAGCAATTATGGAAATATGAAAACTGTGGGTTGGCGGTTGAATATTTTCCTGGCTAGCATTGACACTGGCAGCGTTTAGATAAGTGAACAGACTTGAGCTGGTTTTAATTGTGAATTTTATTATTGTTGATACTGCGATTAGCGGCCAGCAACAGAGAAATGACCGCTAATGCTTTGTTCTCTGACAATCAAGATTTATTCGAGATTTAGCATGAACATTGTAATTGAGACTGCTTACCAGCTGATGTGGTGGAGTTGCACTGATGTCTCCAGAAGCTGATGGCGGATCTCTGTCTGCTGTGGAGTCGGTTCAGTCTTTCAGCAAGACCCCCTCTATGGAGAGATTACATGAAATCAGATTACAAAACAATCATATAGTTACAAAGATTCATCCTGACAGATTCAATTGATTGAATCTTTCACAATAAATTAATCCTAGAGATTAATTTATTAATTTTATTTATATGAAATCAATCAATTGGCATCAAAACATGAATTCAAGCTGTGTAAAATCAACCTCAGAGAATCAATAAGACAGAATGAATCATTTAGAATCAAAGCAGAAGATTCAAAGCACCCTAAATGAGAGATTGAATCTTTCAGAATTGATTCATTTTAGAGATTCATTTGTATAAAATGAAATCACTTGATTTTATAGAGCTTGAATTCATGTTTTAATGCCAAGTGATTTGATTTTATACAAATAAGTCTCTAGAATGAATCAAATCCGAAAGATTCAATCTCTCATTAATTGTGTCTGAATCTTCTGCTTTGATTTTAAACGATTCATTCTGTCTTATTTATTATTTATTCTGCGCAGAATCAAAAAGAAAGAACGAATCATTTAGAATGAAAGCAGAAGATTCAAAGCACCGTGGATGAGTGATTGGAACTTTCACAATTAATCAAAGCAGAAGATTCAATGCAACCTGAACAAAAGATTTAATCTTTCACAATAAATCAATCCTCGAGACTCTTTACATAAAATCAATCACTTGGCATCAAAACATGAATTCAAACTGAGTAAAAATCAACCCCAAAGAAACAATAAGACAGAATGAATCATTTAGAATCAAAGCAGAATATTTAAAACACCCTGAATGAGAAATTGAATCTTTCAAAATGAATTCATCCAAGAGAACCGATTATTTAAAATCAATCACTTGGCATTAAATCATAAAGTCAAGCTGCATAAAACCAAACTTACAGAATCAATAAGATCGAATGAATCATTTAGAATCAAATCAGAAGATTCAAAGCACTCTGAATGAAAGATTGAATCTTTCACAATTGATTCATCCTAGAGACTCATTTGTATAAAATCAAATCACTTTGCATCAAAACATGAATTCAAGCTGTGTAAAACCAACCCCACAGAATCAATAAGATCGAATGAATCATTTAGAATCAAATCAGAAGATTCAAAGCACTCTGAATGAAAGATTGAATCTTTCACAATTGATTCATCCTAGAGACTCATTTGTATAAAATCAAATCACTTTGCATCAAAACATGAATTCAAGCTGTGTAAAACCAACTCTACAGATTCAATAAGAAAAAACGAACCATTCAGAATCAAAGCAGAAGAATCAAAGCACCCTGAATGAGAGATTAATCTGTCAGAATTGATTCATCCAAGAGACTCATTTGTATAAAACCAATCACTTGGCATCAAAACACAAATTCAAACTTTGTAAAATCAACCCTGCAGAATCAATTAGACCGAATGAATCAATTAGAGTCAAAGCAGAAGATTCAAAGCACCCTGAATGAGTGATTGAATCTTTCAGAATTGATTCATCCTAGAGACTTTTTTATATAAAAAATCAAATCACTTGACATCAAAACATAAACTCAAGCTTTGTAAAATCAACCCCACAGGACCAATAAGTAAAAACAAATAATTTAGAACCAAAGCAGAAGATTCAAAGCACCCTGAATGAGAGATTGAATCTTTCAGAATTATGAAGAGACTCATTTATATAAATCATTCGAGACTCATTTATATAAAATCAATCACTTGGCATCAATACATAAAATCAAGCTGAGTAAAATCAACCTCACAGAATCAATAAGACCAAATGAATCTTTTACAAGCAAAGCAGAC